GGAAAGCTCACCTCTCCCAGAGAAGTTTCCAGAGAGTCTTGCCCAAGTCCACCTGGTGACTTTGGACTGACAGCAGTGAGATAGTATAGGATAGGCAGTGGAGCATGGGGAAGGAAAGGACAGTCAAGGTCCACAAGAGGGAAAGCATGAGAACAGCCATTTCAACATGCCCTTGTAATAGTGGTACACTTCATGCTTTGAATATAACCCTTGTTGCTCTGCCACTGAAATTTATTTTTAAAATGGACATCGTTTTTTCTCCTCCTCTTTTCCTGCTCCTGCCTAATCTCCACCCCCCACCTCCCCCCAGCAATCTCAGGGAAAACAGGATTACCTTTCTTTCCCCATCCTAGGCAGAGTTATTGGTCCTTGATACACACCCATCACAGGAAATCTAGACTTTGGGGATGGCACCAGAAGATCTCAGAAATGACTATCTCCCAAATTAATAAGTGAATTACAGCTCCAACAGAGAACCTGTAGAATGTGGCCTTTGAGTTASCACTTTAAAAGCCTACTGATGGGCAGAATCATGGCCTTTGGGACATGTCCCCTGAATTTCTCCTTTGCTAGCAAGGCAATAAATCTTCTTTTTTCTTTTTCTCAAAACCGTGTCCTCTTTATTGGATTGGCATTGGGGACAAGGACCAAGCTTTTGGCAACACCCTGACATGTTATAAGACAGTTTCCTATTTCTCAGAAAAGGTAGAAATTTCCATTGCTAAGAAGGTGACTGTGTAATCCATAATCTGGCCATGCTTATTAGTGGGCCAATTAAAATGTCAAAAACTGGACTGGGGATGTGGCTCAAGTGGTAGTGCACTCGCCTGGCATGCGTGTGGCCCAGGTTCGATTCTCAGCACCACATACAAACAAAGATATTGTGACCGCCAAAAACTGAAAAAATAAATACTAAAAAATTCTCTCTCTCTCTCTCTCTCTCTCTTTAAAAAAATAAAAATAAAAAAATAAAATAAAATGTCAAAAACCAAACAAGAGAAGCTAATAAACTTTTTCTTACATGCCTTTAAAAGAAGGAATGTTAATCCCAGATGCTCAGGAGGATGAGGCCAGAGGAGGATAGTGAGTTCAAAGCCAGCCTCAGCAAAAGCCAGGCACTTAGTAACTCAGTGAGACCCTGTGTCTAAGTAAAATATAAAATTGGGGCTGGGGATGTGGTTCAGAGGTTGAGTGCCTCTGAGTTCAGTCTCTGGTAATCAGTCCAACCCTCCTCTCCACCCCTAAAAAAGAAGAAATGCTGTAAGACTTAAATGGCACTCTTGCCTCTCCTAGCAGTGTGCCCARGAGTTCTAAATCTTTTACTCTCCTTTTAAATAAAATCATTGCTTGCTTGTTTACTTCCACAGCCTTTGTGGTGTTTATTCTTTGACTCCATAGAACATGAACCTGAACCTGAACCTGACTTCTGCCTGTAAGAGCAGGATGACATCAGGCTTTCAAGTTTCCCTTGTACATGGCACAGCATCAAGGAAACTCTAGGTCATTTTGGTCCATGCTGACCACTTCTAATTAGAGCCTGCCCTTACAGATTTTAGTTAGGAGCATTTATTCTTATCTCTCTGACTTCTGGAACCTGGTCTATGTAAGGGTTACAAGATCTCCTCCCCCCACCCCCAGGGTAACTTGTGTTCTTCTTATCTGCATTTCAGCTTTGCATCTCCTTCAGATAACAGGTTGTTTGCTGAGAAATGTAACATATCCTATTAACTTAAGCCAGGCATGACTGCAGGTAAATTGATTTTTAAAAGAAAGCATGTGGGAGTCAGCACAGTGGGTACAGTTTATAGAATTATCCCCTCAACCTCAGGTTCCCATGGCTTATGTCTTTCTGTTACCTAATGCCATCAGCCCCACTTGACATGGTAGGTTCTTCTCCATTTCTTAAACCTCTATTCTGGGCTTTTGGGATACTAGATGCTCCTGTTCCTTATGATACCCCGGGTTATGGGTGATGAATCCTGCTTCCCCACATGTTGAAGTTTGAACATTGGAGAAGCACGCCAAGGCAAGGATATAAAGCAGGATTTATTTAAAAAGGGGTAACATAGACTTCTCCTGAGAGGGAGAAGAGGGCCACAGCTGGTATCCTGGTATCCCAAGAGGCAAGGTTGTTATATTCAAATTCGGGACCCCCAAAAGACCACCARAGACCAAGATCTATGTAAGCAGCAAAGAGGTGTTTATTGAGAACTAGCTGGGTCCTCTACGTGCACACAGCAACTGGTAATGCTGAGAGGCCCCAAGCCCAGGGTTTGCAGCAGTTTTATACACTCTTTGGGGAAGGCAGGAAGTTCACATATATCATAGCATCTCTTAGCAAATCATCACACACCACAGGAAAATCAAGCAACAACTCTTAATATTGATAGCACATTCACTGGCAGGAACAAGTTGGGTATGGGTGATTGGTTAGTACAAGGGGGGATTTGTTTGAACTGATTGGTTTAAGCCACTAGGGAAGTACATGCTAAACTACATGGTTTCCCAACATGTAATCAACCACCATAAATTATTGGGAGGTGTAAGGGACTGGCGAACCACGGAGGAAGAGACCACCAAGAGACCAACTCATGCAACAGCAAAAGGGGGTTTATTGAAGATCCAGTGCGCTGGGGCTCTGTGCTCACTCAAGGAGGGAAAGCAGCCCAGAGCCCCGAGAAGGGGTTAAGCAGTGCTTAAGTACACTTTTTGGGGAGGGCAGGGGCTTTGCATACATCAGAGCAAATCATTATGAGGCGCAGGAAAATTGAACAACAACTCTCAAACATGATTAGCACATTCATTGGCAGGRACAGGTCGGGCGGGGGTGATAGGTCAGTCCTAAAGCTGGGTATACATTCAAAGTGATTGGTTTAGGCCCTGAGGTGCCTACGTGCTGAGCTGCACTGGGTCCAGGTTGTTAAGCAACTGTGGTCAGGGGGGATTTCGACACATATCTAATGGGCAGTCCCGGGAATTGTCTTAACAGCTACAGGAATTTCAGGCTTTTAGTGTAGCTTAGAAACTTAACAATACCTGGTCCTTTACATTTTAACTTCAGTTTCTTTTACTCTTTCATTTCCCACTCCTTCTTTAAGACTATTTTTAATCTTAAAAGTGATAGATCATAATTATTGAGGGATTTCACATTCCATTTCTGCCAGTGGAGCATACTGCTGTCTGATTACCATGAGTTTCACCTGTCCAATCTGAGCCTGGAGGAAAGAAACTATACAGTTAAGCAAACAGGGTCCCACAGTTAGTAATAGCATAAGGATGATCAAGGGTCCAGCTAGGGCTGATAGGAGAGAAGTTAACCAGGGGGACTGGGTGAACCAAGACTCAAACCACCCTTGTTGAGTTTCCCTTTCTCTCTGGTGCTCTTCCAGGTGTTTTCTTAGTTTACTCATGGATTCTTTTACGACGCCAGTATGGTCAGTATAAAAACAACATTCTTCCCTTAGTGCTACACAGAGTCCTCCTTCCCTTATAAAGAGGAGGTCTAACCCCCTCCTGTTCTGTAAAACAACTTCAGAGAGAGAGGTTAATGACTCCTGCAAGGCTGTGATAGAGGTTTCTAATGTCTTTAAGTCTTGATCTATTGCTGTTTCTAATTGGGCCATTTGTTGTGACCCAGGATCACTGCGGCCGCTCCCGTACCTACTCCTGCAGCAGCTCCTATCCCTAATAGGATGGCTAGAGTGAGGGACACTGGTTCCTGGCGGAAACAGGTTGTTTGTCCCCCTACTAGACCTTCAAATGATTCTGCATCATGATAAAGCACCCTGGGGAGTATTTGCACCATTACACAATAGTTTACAGAGCTGTCAAATACCTGGGCTGAAATGCAAGGAGTTAATCCTGAGTCACATGCCCACCAGGTTCCTTTCTCAGAGACTAGAAAGCCCTGCGTGGTATTGATTTCTCCTATCTGGGTACATATGTGTTGTTTACTTTTGGGTGGGGACCCTAGACATAAACCTGCCCCAGTTACTTCTGGGAGAGTTAACTTTGGATTTTCGCCCCAACTACAGGTGGAACTCTGTGTCTTCACAGCATAAGTCCCATTGACTGCTATCCCTTCATAATAGGGGGGTGCGGCAGAGAGACATAGCCAGCAGGATTGGGTGAGATCTGGCTGTGTGGAGTTCAGTACCATAAAGGTTCCTTTAATCAATTCCCAGGGGGAGGAGTCAGCTGTACTCCGGACTGGGGAAGTAGGCAAAGACGGAAACCAGGAGGAATGAGATGGTAGAGGGGTTCTGGTAGTTCTAGGCATGGGAGGTTTGGGATGCTTAATTCCTGGCTTGAGGGGATTGGGCCCTATTCTGGTGGGATGTTCTTCCTGTTTAARTCGGATGGTGAACCAGAGGCCAAAGTCATAAGTGGGGTCATAAACATAGAATCGCATTCCCCAAGTATTTCCAGTAAGCCATGTTGTTCTGAGGTAGCCCCTTCCTTTGGAAGTGAAAGTTATATTGAGGGGGTTACATAGACTATTTGTTTCACAGCGAGTTTTTGACACTTGGCTGGCCAAACAGTTCTTGGGATCTATCCAGGTGTCATTTCGCCCTACCTGAACCATGCTGTCTGGGGAGTTTGATTTCCACCATGCAGCTCTCGTTTGTTCACAACCCCAAGATTTGCAATAAAAGTCACTGGGTCCTCCACAGGTTCGGGCCTATTTTCGACTTTGGAAATCAGCTGGGCACACATAATAATCAAGACTGGCTAGCCTACACCTAAAATGGGGGTGATTACATCCATAATACATATGGTGACCCTGTGGGAAATGTTGCCCTGGTTTGGGTTTGAGCAGGATCTGTGTGGGGTCCTCTATGTCAGGGAGGTCCCAGTCAGAGAGGCCTATGGCCAGTTGACAAATGTCCGGGTGGAGAGATGGCCACCAAGTCCATAAGGGGACTGTATGTGAAATAGACCATACTACTTGTCCAGTGGGATTTATAACTTGCCACTGTTGCTGAACAGGCTGATGGGGATTAGGACTGCTGGTGGTCAGGGGAAGAATCCATAGCCCTACCCACGCGATGGACATGCAACTTGAGAGGGTTACCAGTCTGTTCCAGTTTCCAGCCGGAGTCTGGATAGGGCGCAGGCTTGAGATGGGAGGCATGGATCCAGGGAGCGATCCCATCCACTTTCACGGCTGTAGGCGTTATAAGCAACACCTGGTATGGTCCTTTCCAGTGGGGTTCCAGGGATGACACCTGATGCCGTCTCACATAGACGAAGTCTCCCACTTGATATCGATGTGGGGTTCCCTCATCTCTGGGCTGATAGGCAGTGGCCAACTGTTTCCACAGGTACCGCTGGGTTTGTTCAGGGGCTTTAAGTCTCTTAAGCAAGGGGGTGTGAAAGGAAGCATTAAGTCTCGGAGTTGGGGTTAGGTCCCTTASTGGAGGAGGGGAACCATAGAGAATCTCATAAGGGGTGAGGTTATGTAAAGAGGTGGAGAGGGTATTTCTTGCACGAAACAGTGCATAAGGTAGGAGCATAGTCCAATCTTTTATGCCGGTCTCCAAGCTTAATTTCGTTAAGGTCTCTTTGATGGTTCTATTCATCCTTTCTACCTGTCCTGAGCTCTGGGGTCTATAAACACAACGTAACTTCCAATCAATCCCCAAGGTCCTGGCCAATTCCTGACTTACCTGGGCCACGAACGCTGGTCCATTATCGGACCCTATTACCTTAGGCAGGCCAAACCTTGGAAAAATGTCCTCTAGGATCTTTTTGACCACCGTCTGGGCTGTTTCTTTCTTCGTGGGGAAGGAAAAAGTATCTACAAAGACTAGGAGATAGTTAAGTCCATACCTTGCTGGCTTAATTTCAGTAAAGTCCACTTCCCAGAATTGTCCGGGTCTGGTTCCTCTGGAGCGCTTTCCGTCTTGGAGGAAGCTTGGATGGATAAGCATTAACTAATTGGCAGACTTGACAAGCTCCAGTTACCTGCTCAGCTATTTCTTTCCTCTGTGAGTCAGTCAACAATAAGTCCTTTCTTTGGTCCTTTAAGAGTGCCTGTAACTTCTTTGAGCCTAAATGGGTGAGCTGGTGTATGTCTTTGACRTAAATTTGGGCTTTTTGAAATTGTAAACTTGGCTCTGAAGGGTCCCAGAGTTCTGTATCTGTGTCCCCAGACGATAAGTCGCCTGAATGTTCCTGTGCAGCCAAGTCTCCTGGTTGTTGTTCCCCCGGCATGGAAATAGCTAACAGGGTCACTCCTTTTAGGGCTGCCAACTTAGCTTCCTCATCTGCCCGTCTGTTTCCAACTGTCACGGGGTCGTTCCCCTTCTGGTGCCCCGGACAGTGCACTACAGCTAGTTCTTTAGGGCCTCTTACTGCTGAGAGAAGGTGGAGGATCTCATCTTTGTTCTTTATTTCCTTCCCGGCAGAGGTTAACAGCCCCCTTTGCTGGTAAATAGCCCCGTGCACATGAGCAGTGGCAAATACATAGCAGCTATCAGTGTATATGGTGGCCCTTTTACCTATTGCTAGTTCCAGTGCTTTCGTAAGGGCAATTAGTTCTGCTTTTTGAGCTGATGTCCCTTCTGGGAGACCAGAGGACTAGATGACATTAGTTTTGCTAACTACTGCTGCTCCAGCCCGCCGCTTACCTTCTTGGAGGAAGCTGCTCCCCTCTGTAAACGATACGACCTCAGGGCGAGGCATTGGCTGATCCTTTAAGTCTCATTGTACACTGGTCTCCTCTGCCAGTATGTGTTGACAATCATGAGCMACGAGTCCTGATGATTCTTCTGGCAGCAATGTAGCCGGGTTGAGTGGAGCAGGGGGTCCCAGCGTTATTCTGTCTTTGTCAAGCAACAGGCTCTGGTAGTGAGTTATTCTAGAGTTTGATAGCCATCTGTCTGGAGGCTGACAGATGATACTCTCCAGGGCATGGGGGGCTATAATGGTCAGCTTCTGTCCCAACGTTAATTTATCAGCATCTTTTATTAGAAGGGCTGCCGCTGCTATGGCCCTTAGGCAATGGGGCCACCCGCTAGCCACTGGGTCCAGTCTTTTTGATAGGTATGCTACCGGCCTTTTCCAAGGTCCCAAAGTCTGAGTGAGCACTCCCCGTGCTATTCCTTTCTTTTCCTCTATGTAGAGAGTGAAGGGTTTTTCTACATCTGGGAGTGCTAAGGCCGGAGCAGATAGCAGCACCTTTTTGATATTATCAAAAGCTTGTTGGTGTTTAGGGGTTCATTGGAACTGGGCAGCCCCCTTTATCAGCAGGTATAAAGGGGCAGCCAGAGATGCAAACCCAGGAATCCATAACCTGCAAAAGCCGGCAGTCCCAAGAAACTCTCTAAGTTGTCTCTTATTAGATGGGGGCGGTATCTGCACAACGGTTCGTTTTCTGGGCTCAGTGAGCCATCGTTTGCCACCCCTAAGAGAATAACCCAGRAAGATTACTTCTTGCTGGCAAATTTGGGCCTTTTKGGCAGAAGCCCTATATYCRAGCTGAGCAAGCTCGGATAATAGTGCCTGGGTCCCAGACTCACAGTTCTCCTTGGTGTCAGCTGCCAGCAGCAGGTCATCCACATATTGGAGTAGGGTGACTTTGGGGTGCACAGTTCTGAAGTCATTGAGATCCCTGTGGAGGGCTTCATCAAAGAGAGTGGGAGAGTTTTTGAACCCCTGTGGGAGTCTAGTCCAGGTTAGTTGGCCGGATGTTCCTGTTTATGGGTCTATCCACTCAAAAGCAAACAACAATTGACTGTCCTTATGTCGGGGCAAGCAGAAGTAAGCATCTTTTAAGTCCAGCACAGTGTACCATTTCCGCTCCAGATTCAAAGTGCTAAGCAAATTATATGGATTTGGTACCGTGGGGTGAATGTCCTGCACTCTGTTGTTGATCTCTCTTAGATCTTGAATAGGACGGTAGTCCCCAGTTCCTGGCTTTCTTACTGGTAGCAGAGGGGTATTCCAGGCCGATTGACAGGGCCTTAGGACCCCAAGAGCCAAGTATTTCTGAATATGGGGCCTTATCCAATCCCTAACTTCTTTGCTTAGAGGATATTGTTTAACACTGATTGGAGAGGCAGAGGCTTTTAATTCTACTACTATTGGAGGTTGTTTTATGGCTAGGCCTAACCCAGCAGTTTCTGCCCAGGCATCAGGATAATCTTTTATCCATTTCTTGGGTAGTTTGCCTGTTGGATCAGTCCCAGGGGGCGTGAAGAGTTGATGTTCATTTTCTAGTGACATAGTCAAAGCCGTGACTATGGGAGTTTTTACTGAAGGATTTAGAAACTCCACTTGGGGACCATCAGGGTTAAAGGTTATTTTAGCCTGGAGTTTGGTGAGCAGATCCCTGCCCATTAATGGGGCCGGGCATTCTGGGATTACTAGGAAACAGTGATGGACTTGTCCCTTTCCTAGATCCATAGTCCTCTTTGTTGTTTAAGCCCGATATCTACTGCCATTAGCCCCTTGAACTAATTACCTTTTATTTGATAGGGGGCCCACTGGGGTCTTAAGGGCTGAGTATACTGCTCCTGTATCCACTTCAAAGTTCACTGGGGTCCCCTCCACTTCAACTGTTACCCTGAGCTTGGGGAGGGGATCCRAGCCCCGACTTTCCTAGTCATCTTCTAGAGTCAGCATGGCAGGCTGGCGTGGCTGCTTCTTTTGGGGGCACTCTTTGGCCCAGTGTCCTTTTTCTTTACAGTAGGCACATTGATCTGAGGCCAGGGGCAGCCTTTTGCGTGGGCCCAGGTATCCCTTCCTGTCTCCCTGCTTTTTAACTTCTGGCCTATCTGCGGCTGTGACCAGGACCTTAGCCAATGCTTTAGTCTGCCATTTGCTCCTTTCATCCTCCTTTTGTTCCCTTTCCTTCTCCCTCCTCTATTCCCTCTCTTCCTCAGTTTCTCTCTTATAATATACTTTTTCAGCTTCTCTKACTAAATCTCTTAAGGTCATATCTTGTAATCCATCTAAACATTGTAACTTCCTCTTAATATCTAGGGCAGCCTGCCCGATAAAGGCCATTGCAACAGATGCCTTTTGGTCCTCTGCCTGAGGATCAAAGGGAGTATATCTCCTATATGCTTCCATAATTCTCTCCAGAAACATTGAGGGAGATTCATTAGGCCCCTGGATAATYTCTCTTACCTTGGCAAAATTAGTTGGCCGCCTGGCGGCCACTCGGAAACCCACTATAAGAGCCTGGCGATAAGTGGACAGATGCTCCCTACCTTCAAAGGTGTAGGGGTCCCAGTTGGGTCAGTTTAAGGGGATGCCAGCTTCAATGATGTTGGGAAGTTGGGTTGGTCGCCCATCTGGTCCAAGAATATTCTTTCTGGCTTCCAAGAGGATTCTCTCTCGTTCCTCCATTGTGAAGAGAGTCCCCAGAAGTTGTTGGCAATCATCCCAAGTGGGCTGGTGTTAGAACATCACCTACTTGACTAAACCTGTAAGTCGGGTGGGGTCCTCAGAAAAAGGGGGATTGTTATTTTTCCAGTTATATAGGTCTGAGGAGGAGAAAGGCCAGTATTGGTAAGCTTGCATTTCTCCTCCGTGGCCATCATCTATTGTGGGCCCATAGGGATGAAGAGGGAGCATCATAAGGGCTTCCAAGTTTTCCATTATTCGTCACCAGCGGGTTCCTTTAGCTGGCCCAGTTTCCTCGGGGGGGGGGGTGGTAGGGATTGCTGCTGCTACCGCGGGGAAGTCCCCAGGAGGGCTTGGGTCTGACCCAATTACCTCTAGCAGTGGAGAGGCTGAGTCAGTGGCGGGAGGGTCGTCTGGGGTGGGTCGGGGGTTGGGGAGCATGGGTAGAGGATAAGGTGGGGGAGGAGAGTCCAGTAAAGTTTAATCCTGTGACTCAGGGAGAATGGAGGGACGAGGGGGAGGAAGGGAAGGTTTGAGTGATAGGATCCTGGGGGAAGGGGTTGGAGTGGGGGCAGGGACAAGGAAAGGCTTCACCCATGTGGGAGGAGATTCACAGAGGTCCTGACAGGTTAAGATATATGGCTGTTGATCTGGATGGCCATGTGGTCCCGGCTAATCTGACTTTGCGGATTAGAGGGAGGTGAAAGGATCCTTTTGGGGTCCATTCAACTCCGGAAGTGGGCCATTCTGAAGCACAGAGAGTCTGCCAGGTCCGGCATTTCACTGAAAAAGAAAGATTCTGGGCCCTTGAGCAGACATCAGTCCAATGGTCWAGGGTCAGGGTCAGAGGCGTGGAATGGCTTTGTCCCATAATAGGAGTTACTCAAACAGGGACAGGGACAATACAAACTTGACACAGACAAGGACAAACAGTAAACGTTTTACAGGAGTCCAAGACAAAGATTATAACTGAGTAACTGGCAAAACCTGATGAGCTGGATGATAAAGACAGACAGTAAACTCAACCTGAGACAATGAACAGAACTGAGTAGCCGGCAAAACCTGATGGGTTGGCAGCAGAGTCACTGAATCCAAATCAGTGGCAAAAATACACCTGAATTGAGGGCACTTCGGTCCCCCAGTTTCCCGAGTGCTCCAAGGCGTCCCTTGGGGACGTGGCCTATGGCTTCAGGACACATCTGTCCGCCACCGCCAGGGGGAGTTCACTCCCTCCGCCGGCAGCCACTCTGCCAACCCTTAAACCGAAACTAAACTGAAAGCTCTGAGCAATTGCAAGAAAAAGGAAAAAGGCGCCTTACTTACCCCTAGAGGAGTCTGTTGGGGTCTCCTTGTTTGGTGCTGCAGGGATCCCGGGTGAGCCCCCAAATGTAAGGGACCAGTGAACGATGAAGGAAGAGACCACCAAGAGACCGACTCATGCAATAGCAAAAGGGGGTTTATTGAAGATCCAGCGTGCTGGGGCTCTGTGCTCACTCGAGGAGGGAAAGCAGCCCAGAGCCCCAAGCAGGGGTTAAGCAGTGCTTAAGTACACTTTTKGGGGAGGGCAGGGGCTTTGCATACATCAGAGCAAATCATTATGAGGCGCAGGAAAATTGAACAACAACTCTCAAACATGATTAGCACATTCATTGGCAGGGACAGGTCGGGCGGGGGTGATAGGTCAGTCCTAAAGCTGGGTATACATTCAAAGTGATTGGTTTAGGCCCTGAGGTGCCTACGTGCTGAGCTGCACTGGGTCCAGGTTGTTAAGCAACTAAGTGGTCAGGGGGGATTTCAACACATATCTAATGGGCAGTCCCGGGAATTGTCTTAACAGCTACAGGAATTTTAGGCTTTTAGTGTAGCTTAGAAACTTAACAWTACCTGGTCCTTTACATTTTAACTTCAGTTTCTTTTACTCTTTCAGGAGGGTTATCTGGCATCCCAGGTATTTCCCTGTCTMATGCTGATTGGTGGCTGCTAAAGGGTTGCTATGGGTCTCACCTAGCCTGACTGAGTCAGGGACAACTGGCACTGCAGATCTCTCCTGTTATTTGTAGATAAACAACTCAGCAGGGTGGGTATGTGCCTAGGAGTGCTCTTTGGGTCTTTCCAAGGACAAAGATTGTGCCCCCTTCCTTGGACAGGCTTTGCTCTGAGGTAGAGGCTGGTTTTTCAAGGTGTGTTTTTATATGTCCCAGGCTTCCTTGTTCTCCTGCTTTTTCCACCTTATCTTTCTCCTTCCTGCTTAAGGTACTAGGCTCAGGAATGCTTGGTGGGAGGGCCAAAAGGTGGGAATCAGGTGGGCTGAAGGGGGAAGGTCAGGGTGGAGTAGCCAAGGACACATTAACAACCTTATAGCTCCCTGTGGGGAGGGGAAATTCCTGGGACAGGTTACCTTGGCAACAGGTAGGAGCAGGGGCAGGTTCTTGACAAGGGTAGAGGAAAGCCTCTGAAGGAATTAACATTTCAATCCCTCAAGGGACAAGTCTTCAACTTCCCACACTCACTCAAAATTGGCCTTCTACCTCTAGTTACCTTTTTATATTGACTGCCTGTCTGGCTACCCCCGTGGCTCCATCCTACCACTCTCCTTTGGTGATGATTTCTTATATCCCCAGTTTTAAGAGTTAAAGTGCCACTTTGGGCCCAATCCTTAAATACCTTTCCTTCTATCTTTATGCTTTACTTCTGAAGACCTATCAGCTCAATCCTAAATAGGTCTCAAGTCTTTGTACTTCTCACCACATTTCCCACCATCTTCCTTATCCCAGACACCAGTGTCTCTTGCTTGGACTCCTGTTATAGCCTATTTACAGTCCTCTCTTCTTTCCTTGCTCCTCTAAAATCTTTTTTTTTTCTTTTTCATATCTGTCCAAATGAGCTTCTAAAGTACAGATCAGAGTGCCAATTTCTTCCAGTACTTTTCTATTGCACTTAGAAGACAATTTAGGCTCTATTACTGGCAGCCTAGCCCAAGGACCTTGCCTAGATCCTGACTGGCTGATTTTGAGATAGGCATTTAGGATAAACAGACAGAAATACTGAGTCTTAAAGGAAATATCCATAAGCCATTGAGATGCAGAAAACACATTTGTAAATCTTGGCCCATGTCCTTGGTCACTGCCCCTGTAAAATGAAGGAAATACGAATATGTAGGGAAAACTGGTGTGAAATTGTGCAGCTCCCTCCTGGAATCCACCTCCAGTCTGGCCCCTGATACAGCCCTTCCATAAATATTGGACCCTCCAACTCAAGGCAGGGCTGCTCACTCTCAAGGCAGCCCGCATTCTCCCTTGAATGTGTATCTGACTCCTAGAGTAACCTCTGTCTTTGCCTTTGTTTGGCTCATGGTAAAATTCTTTTATGTCATGTATGCCAAGAATCCTGCTAGTCCTGAGTTTAGTTCCCTGTCTCCTTTTATGCAGACTAATCAAACTGGGGAGAAGCACTTGATTCCTTCTCCCCTTCAGTCCTACAGGAACTGTTACAATTTAAAGCAACAAAAGCCAGGAGATAAACATATGTCCATTTAGAAGGGAAAAGTGGAAAGAAAGGCAAATTTAACTATCCAGTGTTAGGATGGGAGCAGGGCCTGATCTCTGCTCTTCCCCTTTGGGGGTCTGTMAGGGTAGGGTGGGGACAGGTCTTGGCTCTTCAGTCCCCATTCTCAGCAGGAGGAACTAGCTCCCAGTTGTGGGGTGAGGGACAAATTCAGTTTGTTTCAGCTCCCTTCAGTGGGGAACATACTTATTTTAGATTTGCTCTTCCTTTTCTCTCTTACCTCATTTTAAATTCCTCTCTCCTTTGCTTTCTGTGTTCCAGCCATTCTGGAAATTTAACTCTTTCTAAAATATTTCAAATTTATTTGCAAATCATGGCCTTTTGCACAGCTAATTCCTACTTTAGAATCCTCTTAAATTTTCACTTAGAAAATCTTTTTTTATCGTTCTGATCTATTCTTTAATATTTTTTTTCTTTCTATACCTGTCCCTTTAACCCATCCTTATAAGGTTTTTTAGCCCTCACCCTACTTTGTAATTCCTTATACTGCTTGAGTTTTTCATTATAATACCTCTATCCAAAATTGTTTATATTATCAATGTATTTGTTAACTGTTTTTTTAATAGAATATAAACTCTATGAGAGTTTTTTATTTTTTAAAACCATATTTCCTAAAGTATAGATGATAGTAAATATCCAAAAAGAATTTGAAACCATAAATAAATAAATTTTAATTAGAGCAATTTTTATGTGACCCCATTATAGGTCTTTCCTAAAGTGGAAGCCTTGCCCATCTCCTCTATGATAAACCATTTCTCTCTCATTTTTCAAATTCCTATTGTTATGATCGAATTTAGGACCCCCAAAGACCATCAGAGACCCAAGATCGATGTAAGCAGCAAAGAGGTGTTTATTGCGAGCTAGCTTGGTCCTCCGCACGCACACACAGCAACTGGTGATGCTGAGAGGCCTGAGCCCAAGGTTTGCAGCAGTTTTATACATTCTTTGGAGAAGGCAGGGACCTCACATACATCATAGCATCTCTTAGCAAATCATCACATACTGCGGGAAAATCAAATAACAACTCTAAAACATGATTAGCACATTCACTGGAGGGAACAAGTTGGGTAGGGGTGATTGGTCAGTACAAAATGGGTATTCATTTGAACTGATTGGTTTAAGCCAAGAGGGGTGTTTGTGCTGAACTACATGGTTTTCCAACATGTTATCAACCACCATAAACTACTGGGAGGGTCATCTGGCATCCCAGGTATTTCCCTGTCTCATGCTGATTGGTGGCTGCTAGGGAGTTTCCATGGATCACCACCTAGCCTGACTGAGTCAGGGACACCTGGCACAGCAGATCTCTCCTGTTATTTGTAGATAAACAACTTTGCAGGGTGGGAATGTGCCTAGGGGTGCTCTGTGGGTCTTTCCAAGGACAAAGGCCATGTCCCTTCCTTGGACAGGCTTTTGTCTGAGGTAGAGGCTGGTTTTTCACTTTCACACCTCAGCTTTTTCATTAATTTCTCCTTGACTATACTTTCATTCTTTCTATGTTTCATAGCACCTGACTTGCTGCAGGAATAGGTGAGTGATGGACAGGGCCAGCATTTCATGCCACAATATTGATTAAGCACATTTGGTAACTCAGAATGTGGGAAGGGTGGAAGAAGAAGGTAATGCAAAGACAAATATACATGGATTGCATTTGAACCTTTTATGAAAGTCTAGACTTCATTTAAAGGCTTTCAGAGCCATCAAATTCTCTTTATTAGGAAATCTGTAGCATTATGTGATTATGCAATCATTAGGAAAAGACAACATAATTACCATTGAGAAGGTTAACTGGAAAAAGAAAGAAATCATAGGCAAAATCCAGGTTAGGGATTATTGAGATACAGATAAAAAGGGAATTCAAACTCTGAAGGACACTGGCAAAAGCAATTAAAACTGAATTTAAAAAATACTGATTAAATCAAGTCATCTTGGGGTTAACTGATTATGTATAACTGGATGTGTTTGTTATGAACACAAGACATTTAAGAAAGTTCTGGGCCTCCCTCCTAGGAAACTGATTACTATTAATCTAGACAGAAAACATCAGAGAGGTTATGGAAGGGACACATTTTGTTATAGAAATTTATCCTGACCTAGTGTATGCACACAGGGGAATTTGTTTCAAGGACACAGAATGTGTTAGCCAACTTTTCATCTCTATGACAAAATACCTGAGAAAATTGACTTAAGGGAGTAAAGGTTTATTTTGGCTCACAGTTCAGAGATTATTGGTTCTGTTGATTCTAGGCCTGAGGTGAGGCAGGACATCCTGATAGGGGGTGTATGGTGGAGCGAAGATATTCACCT